TTGGGAATGGGATATCCCTGCTCTTGTTTCCCTTGGGATTGGGATCTCCCTGGTGCCATTTCCTTTGGGATTGGGATATCCCTGCTCCTGTTTCCTTTGGGATTGGGATATCCCTGAAATCCCTGCTCCTGTTTTTCTTGGGATTGGGGATATCCCTACTCCCGTTCCCTTTGGGATTGGCTGTCCCTGAAATCCCTGGTGCCATTCCCTTTGGGATTGGGGCCACCCTTGTCCCTTCGGGATTGGGAAGAGGGAAAAATCCCTCCGGGAGGAGCGGGAAAAGCCTTTCCTGGGGCCGGGGGGGAGGGGACGGCAGTGCCAGGCGGCTCCAGGTGACATTCCCTGGAAAAAGCAGCTCCCAGGCTGTCCCTGTCACTCCCTCCTTGGAATTCCGCGGCCACCGCGTGGAAAACGCTCCCAGAGCGTCGCCAGAAGATTCCAGAGCGGGATCGCCGCTCCAGCCTCGGGGTTTTGGGAGCAGCAGGGTCGGGAAGAGGGAAAATCCCTCAGGAAGGAAGGGGGGGAGCCGCTCCCCAGCCCGATTCCCGCTTTTCCTGAGGGGGACAGGTGACATTCCCGGAGTCCCCAGGGATGCTGGAGCCCCAGATCCACCCGGAGAAGGGAAATTCCTGCTTTTCCCATCCCTTTTTCCTCTTTCCCGGGCTCAGGAGCCTTGGGAAGGGGGAGTGACATTCCCTGTGGGAATGCTGAGCTCCCTTGGGAATGCCGGAATCCTCGGGAGCACCGGAATCCTTGGGAATGCCAATCCCGGGTTTTCCCCCCTTCCTTTGGGAATTAAATCCCTTCCCAGGAATCAGCCTGGAGGTGCCACCGCGCTTCCCAAAAATCCCGTGGGATTCATCCAGGCTCATCCTTTTCCCTCTTTTTTTTTGGGGCTGCTCCTCCCCCTGGGCTGGTTCCTGTTCCCGAATCCCAGAATTCCCAAATCCAGCCAGGGAGGAGTGACCCCCCCCCCCTTTCTGTGAGTTTGGTGTGTTTGAATCCAATTAAAAATTAAAAAAAAATTCCCAAAATCCCATGAAACTGGGGGAGGAATCATTCGGGAAGGGTTTTTGGGGATTCTTTCCCTTTTTTTGCCGGGTTTTATCCCTGAAAACGTGGAAGATCCCGCTGGAATTGGGGGTGGGATTCCTGCTTGGATTGGGAGGGGTTTCCCGAGGAATGAGGAACCCACGGGAATCCCCATCCCGGGAATTCCCCTTCCCGAATTCCTGGCGTGTTCACCCCCAGCCCCCTCCCATTCCCATCTTCCTTTATTCCCAATTCCCAATCCCATTCCCATTCCCTGCTCCCAGTCCCATTCCCAATTCCCAATCCCATTCCCATTCCCTGCTCCCAATCCCATTCCCGGTGTCCCCCCCACGGGATCGAGGGGGGCTCTGGGTCAGTCCCGGGGTCCCGCCCCCTTTTCCCGTGGGATTTGGGGGGATTCCAGCCCCATGGAAGGGGGATCCCCCTTTTCCCGTGGGATTTGGGGGGATTCCAGCCCCATGGAAGGGGGATCCCCCTTTTCCCGTGGGATTTGGGGGGATTCCAGCCCCATGGAAGGGGGATCCCCCTTTTCCCGTGGGATTTGGGGGAATCCCGCAGTGCGGGAGCGGGGGGAGGGGCGGAGAAGGGAGGGGATTCCCCGCCCCTCCCCCCTCGGGGATTCCCCTCCCCCCTTTTCCCACCGTGGGGAGGGGGAGGGGACGTTGCCATGGCAACGAGCGGGGGAGGGGGGGGAGGGGCGGGGGCGACGGTCACGCGGCCCCGGGATCCGCCCGCGCCACCGCGAGGGGCGGGCACCGGGAATCACCCCTGAAAACCGGGAATTATCCCAAAAAACCGGGAATCACCCCTAAAAACCGGGAATTATCCCAAAAAACCGG